TTTTAGAGAGATGATATGAAGCAATTTTTCGGAGCCTAAACCTGCGGGTTTCGTTGTGGAAAAGCTTGAGAGCTTGTTCCACCTCTTCCTCTTCTCCTCTCTATAGCTTACGAGCTATGTTTCGTCTCGGTTTCTAATCTCTTTTTTCTCTCCACAAGTGACCACCCCACCTGTATCCTTCTTCTCGACGAATGGCAAAGCAACTTTAGGTGTCTTTATTTTGTCCTTTGTAAGTCTTTTATCTTATAAAAAGTTGTAGTTTGTCGTATTTTTCATATTTTGGTGTATTTTCTTTTATCCTAGGAAGAGTCTTATTTGCTCACAAAAATTTGGGGCTTTTCCCAAATTTTTGCTTGCATCAATTTGGTATCAAAGCCTATGTTTGTGTCTTCCTAGGTCTATATTTTTGTGTCTTTTTTTAAGAGTTAAAGAAAGGAAAATCACAAAAAGATTGATTCAGTCGTGGAAGAATGCAATCCAGAAGATCTTGAAGATCTTGTTCCAATGGACAGGTGGATTTCGACGGAATGAAGTTCAATAGATCCCCTATATAATGAACTATACAAGCTTCAGTTGAAGATGCATTTGTGTACGGAGCAGTACATGAAAAAGAAACAACTTCTACAAGAACAATTCAAGCGAGAGCAGGACGAGGTATTGAAAGGGTTTGCGACAAAAATTCATGAGCTTGAGGCGCCTTCTTTGCCTCCTCGGAAGAAATCTAATGCAATCTCATTGGGAGATGAGTTCTTTCAACCGGAGGAGAATTGATGTGGGCAAGGGGGGTCAAAACAAGTTGGGATTTAGTTTTTATAAGCTTCTACTTAAGTCAGCTCATTAATGATGAGCTACTATCTAATCAGCTCATTAATGTTTAATTAGATTCATTTCCCCTTCTTTGTGCCTTTTCGGTTTGCTCCCTAGATGCTTTCCCTTGACTACCTCTTCCCTTTCTTGTGTTTCCTTGGTTTCTTCCTTGTGAATAAAGGCTGTGTGCCGGTTGCCTTTTCAGTTTTCCCCCCTGGCTGCTTTCCCGTGAATTCCCCTTCCTGGTTTCTGTGTTGCCTGCTCGGTTTGCTCCCTGACTGCCTTCCCGTGGCTTCTCCTTCCAGATTTCTGTGTTGGCTCTTCAGGTCCCTCCCTGGCTGTGTTCCCTTGGCTTCTCCTAATCGTTTCTTGTGCTGATTTTTGGGAATTGTTTTGTGTTGCCTACTCCTTTCCCGTGGCTATTTTTACCCATAATTTTTATAGCTTTTTGAGAGCTGTTTTGAAATAAATGCAAGGCTTTTTGGGTGCTGTTTTTATTGGTTTTATATGGCTGTTTGGCTCCCCTTTCTTTACCTATATAGGAGGTGTTTGTGGCTGTTTTAGAGTTTTTAGAGAGATGATATGATGTAATTTTTGGGAGCATAAACCTGCGGGTTTCGTTGTGAAAAAGCTCGAGAGCTTGTTCCACCTCTTCCTCTTCTCCTCTCTATAGCTTGCGAGCTATGTTTTGTCTCGGCTTCTAATCTCTTTCTTCTCTCCGCAAGTGATCACCCCACCTGTATCCTTCTTCTCGACGAATGGAAAAGCAACTTTAGGTGTCTTTATTTTGTCATTTGTAAGCGTTAAAGTTTGTAAGTCTTTTATCTTATAAAAAGTTGTAGTTTGTCATATTTTCTTTTATCCTAGGAAGAGTCTCATTTGCTCCCAAAAATTTGGGGCTTTTCCCAAATTTTTGCTTGCATCAAGTGTCTAGGGATTGGGAGAGAACGATCCCCCTCTTGAATTGAGGATCAATTGTATCTTGCTTTATTTCTTCCGTTAGTTTGATTTTATTCAATAAAAATCACAGTTTTGTTGTTCTTTCCATTGGATTTGTGGAGCAATTTGCTGTTTTTGTCTTTATTGTTAGGATTTAGTTGAAATCTTCAAAGTGTTTCTTATCAAATAAATATTTTATTGAATATATGAATAAATTAGAAATATTGCTGTTGCATTCTGAGAAAATAGATGATTTGAAAATCACAATCTTTAGGTTCAAATCTAATTTAGACCTGATACAACGAGGGATTGAAATCTCACCACATTCCATCAATTGAGCCTGCTTTTCAACTTGCATTAGGTTTTGAACAACTGTTTCAATTTTTTGCTTCTAAGTGAGTTATTACATTTCTAGGGATTATATCATTTTGTCAGAGCAGTCAAATTAAATCTATTACGCCTAATATATCTGAGGATGGTAACTAAATTCAATAAAGAGATTAGTGGGAAATCAGCTGTATTTATATGTACATCGAAGATTTCTGCAAAGATATATTTTAAGTGTCATTAAACTAGGCATTATGCTAATGAATGTCCAATAGGAACTTGCATATGAGTGTGGGGAAGGAAGAAACTGTGATTAATAATTCTAATGATATTTCAGGAATTCAATAAGGAATTTAGTGATTTTGAGGTTGCTTTAATTGACGATAACATATGTAGATATAATTGATATTTTTGTGCATCAAAGATGTTTAATTCTGATTCAATTGGCTAATTATACCTATAGAATATGGTGTGATGTGCTGCCTGAGGACATTGCTCATATTATTTTTGGGTAGAACTTACTTTATAACTATGATGCACCGACACTTCTCCTCAAAGAGGCGTGCAGTGTCCGACACGACACTCGTCCGACACGTGTTGGACACGCCGAAAACGTGTCCGATTAAAAAAATATTAAAAACAAATTGGACACGCGTGTCCGACACGCGTATCTTAAATATTTTATATTTTTTTAAAATATAATTTCTTATATTTGGTGAGATTTAAACTAAATTTCTTATTTCATATCCACAACACCAAATCAGTGTCTGCATTTAATACCCATTCATCGAATATTCTCATTTTCATTTCTCTTTGGCAGTGAAGGTATTTTCATTTCCTCTCTTTTTGCACAATTACAAATCTTTCTCTTGTTGAACCAGAGTTGAAAGTAGTGATATTTAATAATGATGATATTGAATGTCAAAAATAAACCTCTAAAGCTAATCCTAGTAGTTGAAGCTTGAATGCTTGATATTGTAGTAAGTGATTTTTTGCTTATATTTTTGTGGTTGTACTAAATATTTTATATTGTAAGCTAGACAAGTTATCATGTCATTTATTTATTATTGTTTATCATTTTTAATATGATATTACATTATATATATATACACTATATAAAAAATATATTGTCGTGTCCGTGCCGTACCCGTGTCCTATAATTTCAAAAAAAGTCGTGTCCCGTGTCCGTGTCGTGTCGTGTCCGTGTCGCCGTGTCCGTGTCCGTGCATCATAGCTTTATAACTTAAATGTTGCTTATTTTTGGCGGTCCAATACCCATGCTTTCAATATTAATTGGAGAAGGATATTTAAAAATCTACGAAGTTTAAGGGTAAATTAAATTTGAATCCTCATAAGCATTTAATGTTCCCAATGAAGTGAACAACTCTTTAAATATTCTTATTAAACATGCATTTAAGAAAGATTGTAGGCAAGAGGTTTTAATCTTTGCCTTAGTAAATATGGAAATTAATAATGTGGCACCTAAGTGTATGACGGTTCTTCATGATGTTAATCAAACATAAATGATTTTAAAGATACAAATTGATGAATTGCTTAAGAAGGGATTTATGAAAAGCATAGTAAATGTGCTATTTCTGCTTTGCTTATATCGAAATAGGATGGTAATTGGAGAATTTGTATAAATAGTAAATCTACCAATAAAATTATGATTAAATATATATTTTCTATATATGGTTTGGATGATATGTTGGATATAATGAATAGTGTTATGAGATTTTCTAAAATTTGTTTGAGTGTATATCATCAAGTTAGAATAAGGGAAGATGATGAATGTAAGATTTCTTTTAATACTAAAGATGAATAATATGAATGATATGCCTTTTATATTAACTAGTGCATTTAGTACTTAATGAATAATGTATTGTGACCTTTACAACAACAATAACAAAATCAAGCCTTTATCCCACTATGTGGGGTCGGCTGCATGAATCTTTTTTCTTCATTGTGTTTTGTTAAGAGTCAAGTTCTTATTTAAATTTAATAAAAAAATATCATTTCTAATATTTTATAACCAAGTCTTTCATAATTTTTTTTTGTTTATTTAGATGATGTTTTAATTTTTTGCATGAAACAAGATGATGGTTTGATGCATTTTAGTAAAATATTTGATGCTTAACAATCTAAAAAGTTATATTTGAATTGATATAAAATTGCTTTGTGACTCCTTTTGTGATCTTCTTTAGATTTGGCATATTAGAAGATTGATTAGTTGTTTACTTTGATGAGAGTAAATTGATGAATGGTCGTGTTAGGAAATACTTGGAATTCCCAAGTAAAACCTAACTATCTTGATGAAATTAGCAAGAACGATCCATAAATCCAAAGGAAAAAAAAAAACAGTAATTTTATTGCGACAATCAAACTAACGGAAGAAAAATAACAAGATACAATTGAGTCTCCATTCGAGAGGAGGATCTATCTCTCCCAATCTCTAGATGCCGTTAGAGCCCAAAAACCTAAACCTAAGAGATCTCAAATTTCAACCAAATTCAAGATGCCATAACCCTAGGAAAACAAACTATTTAATGCATGCAATAAAAAAGGAAATCTCTAAATAGTCCTTACATTCAAATTTTCCTCCTAACTCCCTCAAAAATCATTTCTAAACAGCTCCATTGGACTCGGACGGTTCGATCGGCGCGTACAGTATAGGCGAAACTTTTGCCTGAGCCAGTCCCGTGTGGACTGACTGGACCGGTCCAATGGACCGGCCTAACAGGTTGATCAAAATCTACTAATATACATGATTTGACAATTTTTTATAGATGATTCATTAAAGTGTTTAGTATTGTTGTAGCTCCTACTACAAATTATCTTAAAAGTTGGAATTTATTGAACTAAATTTGTCACTTATGGTATTGATTTTAATAAGGTGCTTGAGTGTTTTTGTGATGCATCATGAGTAGGTATTGGAGGAGTCTGAAGTAGGTATTGGAGGAGTATTGAGCCTAGAAGGGCATCTCATGGTGAGAAATTAAATAAAGTTAAGGGACTGTTTGGTTGGATTAAAAAAGAATACAAAGTTAAGTAACTGAGTTTATTTTTGAGGTAAACCAAACTTGCCCAGTTTTGATCGAGAATGGTTTACACCGCAAACAAGCTAGCTTGATCGTAGTCGACCATTATTCCCGCCACCCGCTGGCCACCACCACCACCGTCGTCCGTTGCTACCCAGCGCCGGTCATCGACCCCACCGCCGCTAGCCGTCGTCACCAATTGACACCTGCTGCTGCCGGCCACCACCACTGCCGTAGACCACCACCACCAACCATCATCACTGCCGGCCGCTGCAGCCTCCATCAGTTCTCGGTTGCCGTCGTCGCCGCCGCTGCCACCGCCGCCACCTACGCCACCACCTACTGGTCGCCACCATCTTTAGATTTTACACTATATTCATTTTACTTCAAACCAAAAACATTCATCTGAATTTACTTTACATATCCAAACAACTTCAAATTATTACTTTTACTCTACATTCCTTTTTTAGCCAACTAAACATCCCCTATGTAAAATATTTAAACTATGATAGAGAATTCGTTGTTGTTGTTCAACTTATTTGATACTGGAGACATTATGTGTCACCAAAAGAATTTGTCGTATATTATGATTTTCAAATTTTAAAATATTTTATTTCTCAAAGAATTTAGGGTGTAGGCATGCCATGTAGGGTAGGTTTCTACAAGAATATTCTCTTTCCCTTAAACATTGTTATGGATCATATAATAGATCTGCTGATGCTTTGAATTTTTGTCTTTATACATATAATGTAGGTTTAGGTTATTGTGTTTGATCATGTTGGAAGGGAATATCTTACATCTAAGCATTTCAATCAAATTTATGAAGACTTAAATAATGACTCATCTTTGCTTAACAAAGATTATTTATATAAGGTTACTCATCTTTGTATCCTAATTCATCATTGAGATTTTTTTGATTTTAAATTGACTTGTTTATTAAAAAATTTATGGTCAAATTGAAGCGGTTAATATAAGCGAATGAGGATGTTATATTATCTGATAAAATCATGCATCTCCGTAAAATTTGCTATTAATTATGACTGAGTAAATTGGTTTATTGCATGAGTTCATTTGAGTATCAACCTAAAAGATTATGGATTTTGTTGACCTACTTGAAGAATTTAAGCATGGTGCTCCAATCAGTCGTACAGTATATAATCATGATCTATATGAGGATATTCTAAAAAAAATGGCTATTAATTATGATAATTACAAGCTTCCTCCTAATTTGAAGGTGCAATATGTTTTAATCATTTTATAACTTTTGCAGCTATTATTCAAATTATTTCGTGCTGTTGAGGTTGCTTCAAGGGGCTATTCATTTATAATTAACTTCTCAAAGACTCTAGCCTTGTATGAAGTATGGTTAGACCTTACTCTCTCTTTTTATTTCTTTTTATTCAATAACTTCATGAAATTGTAACATGATTTCTTTTTTTGTTGTATATTAGTTTGATTTCCCATGAATGTCCATTTCTATCTTTTTGCAGAATTTCCTACCATTTTGCTTCCGAGAAGTATGGGTGATAACTGCTTGTTTAGCCATCATCAATTCAACTGCTTCTCATTTTGATGGCTCACATGCAACAGCAGATGGGAAGGAGTTTTTTCGTCTTCAGGGTGACCTTTACTCGCTCAGCCGGGTGAAGGTAATTTGTCTATTTATTATTTTTGAATATAGCTTTAATACTTGTTTGAAGAGCACATCTGCTAGACTTGACTGCACATGGCATAATTATTTTGAAGACATTTTACTGGAGCATATTGCTTATTTGCAAATGGGCGGTAAGAGATGAAGTAATGCAGAATTTATCCTTTGAAAGATGGTAATTCGTACTATTGTGGGAATTGCTCTACCATAAACTCTTGACTTGCTATTTTGTTATCTTTGAGGTTTGTCATGGTGCAGTATTGTGCTGAAAAAATTCTATGTAAGATTTTGAACTTGTGATGTAGGACATCTTAGAGTCTAGCACTAGTTATTTGGGACATCTTAGAGTCTAGTATTTTTTAAAACAAATTTATGATAAGATGAATAAATTCATGTACAGATATGCCAAATAGAAGTTTACAAACCCTTAATTTGGACAACTATGCATTATTTTATTGGAAAAATGAAAATACAAGATAAAAACTGATGCATGTGATAATGTAATATTCATCATCAGAAATAGTGCATGAAAATTTAGAAGCATGAAAACCATATATGCAGTTGTCAAAATTTAGATTGTATCATATTTGATAAAACTCAATCACATATAAAGACCAGGACTAGAAATATTGTAAAATCAAGCCTCATTCCTTACAAGAGACAATTTTTCCTGAATTTCTTCGATCTCCATTTACACTAGGAGAAAACTAGAAGGAATTTCATCCAAATTAGAAATGTATTGAATTCAAGCAGAATCAGAATAAAGTCTTTTAGACATGTCTTAAAATCTCTTATTTATAATCACAAAGCCTCCATAAATTTAGAGTTAAAAAATATCAAAAGATAAGTTGACAACTTTTTTGAGAATCCCAAATATCTCGAAAGTATTACGTGCAAAAATCTCAAAATAGCTGCACCATGTAACAATCACATCTCAAAATAGATGCAACAATCACTAAGGTCAAAGGGGATAGTGCTGAATAAATAACTAAAGGAACTAAACAAAGCTGAGACCCAATCATGGTAAAAATAACCCAAGGAAATCATAATGGGGAATTGAAGGTTGTAAACCACAGAAATTGAAAGCTAGCCAGCAGCCACTCGAATAGAAATCTTGTTGCAATCAGCCATCATCAGATCAACTCTTATTGGTTAACATCACAGGCTTGTTTTTTCCAAAATAAATGATTAAAATTTGAAACATGAAATTTTTACAAAAGTAAAAGATACATCTTACATTTTTTGACAACTATAAACTTCAATGTTTGAGAACCCCAAAAATCTCAAAAGTCAAGCGTGCAATGATTACTAATGTCACAGTGGATAATGCGAACAAAGAATCAAAGCCGCTGAACAAAATTTATACCTAGGAATGACCAAATCTCTCAAGAAAGAAGATCGAAGGTTTGAAACCACAGAAATATAAATCTAGCCAAATAAATATAAATCTTGTTGCAATTAGCCACCACCAGATTAATTATTATCGGGTAACATCCTAGGCATATATTTTTTCAAATAAAAAAAAAAAGAAATTCCTACATAAACAAAAAATTACCAAAATCATCAAAATAAGAATGTCTATAAAGGATTCATGTCAATATTATTCGACAAGTTTTACGCAGGCTGTCGACTACCTAACGCAACCCTCAACTTTTCTTATCGAGGACTTGGAACCTGGCAACGACAGTGTTAAAATTCTATAAGATGGTGGTGAGGCCTGCTATGCTTTATGGTGCCGAATGTTGGCCATTAAAAGAGAAACATAATACTAAGTTAAGTGTGGTAGAGATGAGGATGCTTAGGTGGATGAGTTGCTTTACTCTTAGAGATAGGATACGAAATGAGCATATACGTGAAAATGTTGGAGTAGCTCCAGTAGAAGATAAGATTAAAGAGAGTCACCTTAGATGGTTTGGTCACATTAAACAGCAGCCTTCCGATGACCCGGTTAGGAAAGTAGAGGTATTAGATTTGACTTATGTTAAGAAAGGTAGAGGCAGACCTAAAAAGGCTTGTTTAGAAAATATTAGAAATGATCTTCCTTTATTAGATTTAAATGAGAATTTGACTTTTAATAGGACACAATGGAGACAAAGGATTCATTTAGCCGACCCCACGTAGTGAGATTAAGGCTTGATGTTGTTGTTGTTGTATCAAAATAAGAATGTCTATTAGGTTGCTTGCCTCAACACACACATCACGCATATATGATGATTGTAAATTTTAAGGTTTGCATCAGTTATGTTTGAATTTTAAAAATTTAGTTGTGATGAATTATTAGATTGATATTTGTCAATTAGTTTTAGGCAAAATGTTGTTTTTGTATAGAGTAATTCGTGAGTTATCACATATAGGCATATCATATTTATTCACAAGATATCTTTGATATCCACCATCAATAATGGACATAATTTCATCAATTAATATAACTTTTGGCTCAGGATTTAAATGATTTTTTGGAAAGGTATTTGTATGTAAATTCCAAAGACGGAGATGGAAAGGAAGAATAATCCTTGATTTTGGTTGATTGTGCATGAGATAAAGTCATATCAAATACATTTAATTTCTCGCCTGAGGACTAATTAAACATATAGTGATAACAAATAATTTACAAGCAAACAGTGTTTGGTTAAAAAGTCTTTGAACTAACCATCTTGCTTAAAAAATTTTAAAATAATATTACCGTTAATTCCTATAATCATTAAATGATAAACATTGCTCTTTAAGTTTATGTTTCATATTAGTCCATGAAGATTTTAGTTTGGTTGCAATATTTTGCCAGAAGAATTTAGCAAATCAAACCTAGGGAAGCAGAAAATGTAAGTTATTGTAGAAATCTTCTTAAATATCGATTTGGTTTGAAAATTGCCTCAGATTATTTCTTCCATTGAATGTTGGAATAAGATAATTAAGTTGAATTGTTTGGAATTGTAAACTAATTTGATTTAAAATTTATCTTTTGTTGTTGTTTTTTTTTGTTGGTTCAGCAATTAAATCCCATATCTAGAACACATTGTGATGTAACCTGATGCAATACTACAATCGCAGTGCTGTACCGACTTTATTGCAATCTTTTTCTAGTGGTTTCCTTGCAATTTGAGTTATACTGCTACTAGTTACGCTTTTTGCTATTTTCACATACTACGGCCTCTAAGTGTACCTTTTGTTGCTATTTTGTTTTGGTTGTTTGATACAAAACTTGAGGCATGATATCTGATGCAAACAAAAATTTTGAAAAAGTACCAAATTTTTGCAAGAAAAACTAAACTCTTCCTAGGATAAGAAAATATAAAAAATACTCAAAAAGATACTTTTATAATATAAAAACGACACTTACAACTCTTGACACTTACAAACAAAACTCCTAAAGGAGCTCTTCTTTGCTTGATTGAGAAGAAGGATACAAGTGGAGTCGATCTTGTGGAGAAAAGAATGAGATTAGAAGCCGAGACGAAGGAGGAGAAGCTCGCAAGCTTTTCTAGAGGGAGAGGAAGGGATGGAACAAGCTCGCAAGCTTTTCCAACAAATAAACCCGCAGGTTTAGGCTCCAAAAATCACATTATAACTCTCTTCTAAAAACTCTAAAACAGCCACAAATATCTCCTATATATAGGTAAAGAAATAGGAGCCAAACAGCCACCATGCGACTAATTAATCCCATTAAATCATGGAAATGAAAGGCCAAAAGATACCACAACAGCAGCTGAAAAACCACCCAAAAATCAGGCCAAATACATCCACAAACAGCCCCGCAAAATCTGCACAGAAAATAGCAAGGAAAGCCACGGGAAGCACAACCATTTAAGGGGAAGAGGAACGCCAAAAGGCACCACAAACAGCCCACAAAAATTGCACAAAAAACAGGGCAAAACAGCACCCAAAATCTGCACAGGAAACAGCCAGAAAAAGCCACGGGAAACCCAGCCAGCAAGCCACGGGAAAGCAGCCAGAAGGGACCCGAGGAGCCAACACAGGAAACAGGGCAGAGAATTCACGGGAAACAGCCAGGGAGAAATCCCAAGAGCCCGCCATCTTTTATTCTCAAAGAAGAAACCAAAGAGACACAAGAAGGGGAAGAGACAAGATCCACTAAATGAGCTTATAATAATACATTTTCATATTAATGAGCTATCATTAGCTCAAGCATTTATGAGCTTGAACCAAGTAGATCCCAAAATTTCAGCTCAAAACCAAAGCAGCCAAGGCCCAAACCGTGAGACAACAAGCAGCTCAAAGAACAAAATATTCAACTTGTTTTGACCCCCCCTTTGCCTACATCAATATCTTAAAGTCCGGTTTTTCTACTGCAAATCCATGATGAGATTTACCAATTTACACAATCATTCAAATTCATAATTCACATATCCCTAGTTTGGATAGCGATTCATTCCTTTGGATAAAAATTAAAATACGAAAAATTTGATACAAATAATAATTCAATGGCCGTCTATTATAAATAACATGTAGAAATTTTGAAGCATAAAAGCCATACAATTCAATTAATAAACTCTTTATAGATAAAAAAAAACCAAATTGTGTCAAATTTGACAAGACTCGTTCACTTGTACAAACAAATAATGAGAAGTTAAAGAATAGAAAAAGAAATTCTAAGGGGTTACTAAATAGCAAAACCAAGTAGCTTGCTTGTACAAGAAGATAAATTTATTTGAAAATATTTAATCTCCACTTGTACTATAAGATAACTAAAAGGACTTTTATCTGACAGGAAAGTTATTGAATCAAATCAAATCAGAGTAGAATAGTTTTGCACTCGTCTCAGACCCCCTATATTGATAATCACACAGTTTGAGTTTACAGTTAAAACATAGAATGTAAGCTGACTATTTCACTTGAGATGATAAAACTGGAGGAATTCGTTTAACAGCTAAAAGCAAACCTTATACTGAGCCAATAAAACCCAATTGATACCAAAACATTCGTAGTGTGTGACAATCTCATCTTGTAGTAGAGTCAATGACAGCTACGTTCCCAGGGATGATGCAATAGAGAATTGAAGGTGCCAAACAAAATCGAGACTATGCAGTCTTAAAAACTGCATACAAGGAAATCATAACAGAGAAATAACGGTTGGAAACTGCAAAAATAGTTATTCAGCTACAATCATACGCCAAAGATCAACTCTTATCATGAGCGTGCTTTTATTAAATTCAAAATAAAAAAATCGAAAACTGAATTTCCTGCTAAAATAAAATTTCTAAAACTAATGGATTGAAATCTTCTCTTTGTTTGCAGAAAGGCACACATCTTACATTTATGATGATGGTTAACTTTTTTAGGTTTGATCAACTAATCAACCATGCCTTATTTTTAGTTTATTATTTTAAATTTTATTTAAATACCATAACAAATTGAATCTTTTCAAGCATTGCGGATTTTTAACAGAAGTATCGTATTCTTTTGAAGTTCCTATGGAACAAGTGAAATATGCATCGTCATTTTAATCTGGGTTTTGCGGTTTTATAAGATGAGTTTTTTTAGCAACAGTGTCTACGTAAATCTTTAGAGATTTTTTTTTTAAAGCAGCGTAAGATATTAGCGTCTTTAGGAAATTGCGGAGTGTTGGCTTTATATTTTGCGGTGCAGCAGATTTTACTTTTTCTTTTATGTCATTTCTTTTAGTATAACATTATAAATTGAGTGGCATCAGAAAGATTTTCACGGATGAATAGCCAGGATTAATAATTTATATTTTTGAACACATGGAATTGTGCTTGTTATGGTTCTTTTTGGTTGATGTTCTTCATTGCCTGCATTTAAGGAGTTTAGTCTTTAATATTTTTAACCCACTATGAATCACAACTTAAGGATATCTTCCGTTGTGCTCATCTTATGCCAGCCCTTTTGATGTTTTGGCAGTTTATGAGGCTTGCATATTTGATTGGTTATGGAGTGGAAATGGAAAGGAGTCCAGTAAACAGGTACTAATTCAAACCCTATGTACATCTTCACCTGTAATGGTCAAGTCAACATAGTTGGAAATGCCTACCTAAAACCACATTATTTTTGACTAATCCTATCATATTGTATTCTATTTGCTGTACCAACAGTGCATCTTTAAGCATGCTACCCTGGCCCAAGCCAGCAGTGTGGCCACTTGTCCCACCTGAGGCCTCAGCTGATGTACTTGAAAAGGAGAAGGCAAGTGTTTCCCTGTAATTTTCATTTCTGGTGGTGTGAGAGAACATTTGCTTTTCCTTTTTTCTTTTTATATTTTAATTAGTCTAATCTCTATTCCATTTTTCCAAATGAGCCGCTTTGTGTACTCCCATACAACAACACAACAACAATATCAAGCATTTATCCCACTATGTGCGGTCGGTTACATGAATCCTTTTTCTCCATTGTGTCTATTAAGAGTCAAATTCTCATTTAAATTTAATAAAAAAGTTATTTCTAATATTTTCTAACCAAGCCTTTTTGGGTCCACCTCTATCTTTCTTAATATAGGTCAAATCTAATATGTCTACTCTCCTAACCAGGTTATTGGAAGTAGTATGTATTATGTGATCAAACCATCTAAGGCGACTCTCTCTAATCTTATCTGTCACTAGAGCTATTCCAACCTTTCCACGAATATACTCGTTTTGCATTTTGTCTCTAAGAGTGAAGACATTTATCCATCTGAGCATCCTCATGTCTGCAAAACTGAATTTAATTTTATGCTTCTCTTTTAGTGGCCAACATTCTGCACCATAAGACATTGCAGGTCTCACTGTCATCTTATATAAATTTTTCTTAAGTTTGAGGGATAATTTTCTATCACATATAGGTCTAGTGCATTTCTCCACTTCAACCATCCAACTTAAATTCTACTAATAATATCCCCTTCTATTTCACGATCACTTTGACCAATACATACAATATATCTAAAACTTGTATTCTTATTAATGACTTGATCACCCAAACGTCTTAGTCCGCCCACTAGATTTATTACTACTAAAATTATACTCCTTGTATTCAGTTTTAGATCAACTCAAACAAAAACCTTTAGACTTCAAGGTTAACCTCTATAGTTCAATTTTACCTTCAACTCCCTCTCTAGTCTTATCAACAAGAAGAATATCATTAGCAAAAAAACATGCACCATGGTACAACCTTTTACAAATGTCTAGTAAGAACTTCCATGACTAGAGCAAAAAGATATGGGCTTAAAGTTGATCCCTTATGTAATCCAACCTAAATAGGAAAATACTTGGTTAAAATAGAAGTTTGAACACTCGTAACAACTCCTGCATACATGTCCTTAATGACTTGAATATAAGGCATTATTAATCCATTTCTTTTCTAAAGCTCTCCATTATTAACCCATCTTACAAATGCCTCCTCATCTCTGCAAACTTTATCATATGCTTTCTCTAAATCAATAAATATCATATGTAGATCCTCCTTATTCTCTCTATACTTCTCCATCAAACCTCTCAATAAATGTATAGCTTCCATAGTAGACCTATTTGGCATGAATCCAAATTGATTTTGAGAAATATTAGTATCACGTCATAACCTCTGCTTAATAACTCTCTTTCATAATTTTAAAGTATGACTTATTAACTTAATTCTTCTATAATTCGTTCATTCTTGTGCGTCACCTTTATTCTTAAAAATAGAAATCAATACACTCCACTCATCTGACATCTTTTTAGTCTTCAAAATAATATTGAAACACATCATGTTGAGCTCAATATGAGCGAATAATGTGTGATAAAGTTGACCCCAAGTAATTGAAATAAGGATGTAGAATATAGCTTGATGTCAGGCCCACAGTGTAAGAGCTTTTTGTCAATATACTTGTTGGGTGTTGTTCTTAAATTCGCTTGATTTCCTACGCTCCCATCTACTTAAGTAAGGTTCCCTGCCCCCTAAGCTTAGGCTAACGCTACTTCTTCATCTAACTGATTATGGTTCCATTTTGTGTCTTTTATTAACTTTGATATCATAGTCAAATGTTTTGTTCACTATTTTTTTTTTCGTTTTTTGGTTGAGCATAACAGATGGTTCATCAATCAAGTTCCAGAGTGAAGCACTTCAACATTGAGAGAAAACCATTACCTCTGGAACCTTCTTTACTGCTAAGGGAGGCTAATAGAAGGAGAGCTTCTCTTTCTGTGGGTAATGCGTCCGAGTTATTTGATGGTCGCTGGGGTGATGGGTATTGAAACCATAAACATTTGTCACATATTGGTTTTTGCTTTTGGCTTGAATTTTGTATCTTTAGTTACTGATATTAACGGAAACCTTAAATTTCTTTGCATTTTTTTGTTACCAGTTCAGGTTTGGATGGACATTTACAATTCTCCCCAGCCGGTAAAGTTCATGCAAACCTTATGTCACGAACCCTATCTGGTCCTGCAAACTCTGAGAACTCATCTTTATCATTTGACCGGCCTATGAGACTTTGGGAAATCCATGTTGCAGCTGAACATGCATTGAAGCGTACAATTTCTGATCCCGATTTATTGAAGTCAATATCATCATTACCTGATTTTGAGGTGTATTTTTTATTTTATGAAAATTCAACACTGTTGTTTGTTATGAAATTTATTCTTACCTGGTAGATTATGGGGAAATTCAAAATATTAATTAGAGGCTAAATAGTTTGTTTATATACTATTTAAGATTTCAGACTTAGATTTATCATCAATGCTACATGGAATAGCCTATGGATTTTTTTTTTCTTCTTTTATGATGGGTTTTTATACAACCAAAGCAGCATAATTAGCACTATAAATTGACTATTGCATATGTGCATTCATAACCATCTATAAATACCCATTCCATCACTTACAATCACGTTTACTCGTATACATATTGATGTGATTAGAGATAACTCATTGTTTGCAGAATGTTGTGTGTGAAGCTTAGTACATTTTTGAGACCAGGCTGCTCCCTGATAATATCAGGTGTGTCTATAGTTCTAGGAATGTAAATTGAATGGTAGGGTATATTTTGAGTTTTGATGATCATGTTTTAGTACGTATTTTCTTTCCTCTGGATAGTTTATAATATAATTTACATTTTTGGTTAACTTTTGATTTTCTCCATATTCTTACCTCCACATCTTGGTTTTTTTTCTCCATATTCAATGAGGATATCATTTCTTTATTCGAAGTTGGGTGATTAAAATAGTGAAGTTTCTATTGGTTTCTTTGTTGTAATCTAGTATCGTGGAGATTCAACGGTTCATAAATTTGACCAGTATACTAGATTTATGTATTGGGAAATAAACGTATGGTAGAAATGTAATGCCAAGATGTATGTGGCATAAAAAAAAGTTAGGATTGAGAAATATTTATATATGACATGGTGATAGTGGTGTCTACAAATGATGTGGAAGGATCAGAAAAAAAATTTTTGGTAGGCCAAGGAATATGGCCACTCAAAATGGAGCTAAGCATTCAACATGAATGAATGGAGTCATGGAGGTTTCACAAAGTCAACGTTAAATAATTGTTACAAGTCTAATGATGATAATGACTGAGTATCGATTTGTTTTCACCTTCATAATGATGCATTCTACTGTGACTTTATTCTTTAACCAAAAAACTTGCATCATTGGCAGAAGAAGTACATGGAGCTAACGAAAGGTGCTGCTGACAATTACCACCAATCATGGTGGAAAAGGCATGGAGTAGTCCTTGATGGAGAGATTGGTGCGCTTTGCTTGAAGCATGGAAATTATGATCTTGCTGCAAAGTCATATGAAAAGGTCTGTGCTCTTTATGCTGGTGAAGGATGGCAAGACTTGTTGGCTGAGGTTCTTCCTAATTTAGCAGAATGCCAGAAAATTCTTAATGATCAGGCAGGCTACCTCTCATCATGTGTTAGGCTATTATCACTGGATAATGGTTTATTTTCAACTAAGGAGAGGCAAGTTTTTCAGTCAGAGGTTGTTCGGCTGGCTCATGGTGAGATGAAGCATCCAGTGCCTCTAGATGTTTCATCGTTAATCACATTTTCTGGAAATCCAGGTCCTCCACTTGAGCTATGTGATGGTGACCCTGGTACATTGGCAGTAACAGTCTGGAGTGGGTTTCCTGATGATATTGCTCTTGAGTCTCTTAGCTTGACATTAATGTCTACATTTAGTACTGATGAAGGGGTGAAGGTATGCTGCGTCTTTATCTTTTGTTAAATATCTTTATCCTTTTCTCCCTTCAATTGTTTCTAAGCACAGTTGCAGTGACGGGGTGTCTTCATTTATTTTGGCATGTGAAAAACAAATAATATGAGATTTTATGTTGCTTGAGATCTAGTTAGAGTTCCAATTCTTTTCATCAGATGTTGCAATTCAACACAATCAGTTTTTCATGGTTTGCTTTGCCAATCTAAAAATTTAACTTTTTTATTGGGTGATTTTACTTTTTGTAGGATATAAAAAGTTCAGATGCACCTGTACTAAAACGTGGCCATAATCTTATTATGCTTGAATTACCACCCCAAAAGCCAGGATCCTATGTATTAGGTGTTCTTACTGGGCAGATTGGCCAATTGAGATTCAGATCACATAGCTTTTCTAAAGGTGGCCCCCCTGATAGTGATGATTTCATGAGCTATGAAAAGCCGACCAGGCCTGTATTGAAGGTAATGCTTCTCAAAATTTAATTGTGTGACACTATGATATAATTCAATTAAATAAACTGTGTTTTTTTTTGTTATTGGCTCACTTCTCTTTGATTTTCCTAGAACTTTAATAATGTCTTGAAGACAGCAAATTGCAAAATTATGCTTGATCTAAAAGTAAAATGATTGTGAAATATTGTATGCATTATCTTAATAGGTGCACAAGCCAAGGCCTTTAGTTGATATTACTGCGGCCGCATCATCTACTTTGTTAATAAATGAAGTTCAATGGGTTGGACTAGTTGTAAGTCCAATGAACTACTCCCTTAAAGGTGCTATCTTACATATAGATACTGGTCCTGGATTGATTATTGAAGAATCTCATATGATTGAGATGGAGCATTACAGAAAAGCTACAGATCATATGGTTAATTGCAGTGGCTTAAATATTGTCAAAGAAGACGCTTGTTTAAGTGAAGTATGTGAGAAGCTGCTGCTTGAAAATGGCCAACTAGCTTTTCCAGACTGGGCTGGTGATTTGGCTACTGTCTTGTGGCTCCCTGTCCGTGCCATTGACAACATGCTAGCTCGGGGAACATCCTCTGGTTAGTAGTTATTTTTTGTGATGGATGCTTCAATTGTTTTTGTTCATGCTAATCAGTCTCACACTATCTTTCGTGTTTGATTCCAGTAAATCCTTCCCGGCACAGTGTTGTAGATGGAATGCGGATGATTGCTTTGAAGTTACAATTCGGAGTTTTTCACAACCAAATATTTGAAAGGCATGTAGTAATTTTCTCCTCTTTTTTTATCATTCTTCACTGGAATTTATAGTCAAACATGTACATATATAAATAAGCATGAGAATGCCCATGCCTAGATCGATATTTCATTGGGAAATTTTATGGCGAGATCCCTCTTCTTTTCAAAATACCTAATATGAATTTCATTTTGGGTCTGACATCCAATTTAGTACTTCTTAATGAGCCCTCGTAGTTTGGTTGATATTGATGCTAATCTCTTGAATTTTCATATTTTTTCTAATCTAAACTTCTTCCTCTTCTGTGAGGCAATATTCAAGTGGAGAAGTCAGTGTAACCACGGGCTGCTTCAACACACACACTCTATATCTTTCTCTCCACTCCCTCCATGTCTGTATATCCCAGCTCCTGATAGTGGCGTGACATTATTGTGGTGATGGCATAGAACCTATCCATAAGCTCAAGTCCTGCTTTTGCTTTTCATTTGTGGTAGGGCATTGCAGAGATTGCAGCACAAAACCTGTCCACTCCACACCAAATCTCGAATTGATTCTCTTCTTCCTTTGTGGCAGTGTGACCTTAGTGGCACATTGTCTGCATAGGGTCTAGGTGTCTAGCCAAGCGAGATGACGAACAGCAAGACAGAGAAAAATAGGTGTGGGGTAGCAATGCAGAAAGGGGCTTAGAATATGATCTTAACAACGAATTATCATACAGGAGAACAAATTGCAATTTATATACATGCTTGAATTTTTTGTTGTAAGATAATTGTGTTATGCCAGTCCAGCTTGGACCGGCTCCACCTGGACCGGCCCAGCCGGTCCAGTTCTACCGAAGGCGGACCTTGAATTTTTGTTGTAAGATAATTGTTCAATCAATGGCATAAATTATTAGGCAAAACACTTAAATTTGTACGTGGAAGTGGCTATTAGGAGTGGATAAAATGAACACAAAAATAGCAAAGATATCAAGCACCAGAAAAAGACAACAAGATGTATGTGGTTGTGGGCTCTGAAATTTGAGCATTAGGGGTCCCAACCTTTCCGCATATATTCGGGGAGAGTTTTAACGGATTATGTTTTAGGAGAAATTTTCGGAAGACAAATTAAATAGAGATAATACACTATCGAGAAATTTCACCCTCTTAGTAAGGACCTTTAAGATCTGAGTTTTGGTTTCCTATAGTTGCAACCCCATATAGTTAATTACCCACCCCGTTAACAAGAGAGATTTTTCGATTAAGGCTAGTCATTAAATATGCACTTAATACTTGGCATATAGTAGTAGTAGTTTTAAAATTAGATTTAATATTTAATATTAAAAATTTAAAATTCACCGCATTGCACATAAAGTGGATGGTGGGGGAAATGATAGTGACCTAATTATTATCCCATGATTCCGTCATCGCAGGTCATTATGGTCTCTAGTCCACTTAGTCAGAGAAGGTAGTCGACCCAACATGATTGAAGGATCCTAGTTGCTTCGTACAATGGCACCTTATATATTTGGGTTGAATGTTTATCTAAGGGTATCAAGTCGACCTTAGCTTGAGTTGTGATCTATCGATTATACCTTATAATTTATTATTCAATGGTAGCTAGTCATTGAGAAATATACGGGCTTTTGACTGTGACCGTAATATAATGAAGTTGTTCGACCAAGCCATCAGGTTAGAGGGCCACATTCATAATCATTTACCATGTGGAGTCGTCTGGACAATCCACAAGTTCTTTGTGGAGCCATTTTTCCATGCCATCGATTAGATGACCATTCATAACCATTTACTGTGTAGAGCCGTCTGGCCAAGCAACGGGTGTTGTTGAGCCATCTAGCCAAGCTACCGGTTAGAGGATAAATGCTATGTCCAAGCTATCGGTTAGAGGATAAATGCTATGTCCTTACTGACAAGATATTATTTAAGAATAATTTCAATGATATTCCCGATTTAAATATTTGCTCTTTGTAGAGAAGATTCAATCCCTTATAGAGATGTGACACTGGTGTACAAATAAAAAGTACACCAAAAAAAGCTCTTCCCCAATTATAAGTGCGCCCAATTTCATCAGAAAAGAGAAACCTCAAATTGCACAAGTCAAACAAATGAAGAATAACATAAGAGATAAAAATAAAGATAAAAAATATTTAACTATTACATGAAATAATATACTTCAAAAGTTCATTGAAATAGTGTACTTCTGACATGCCCGTATAATTGTCGCAAATTATTTGTCAATTTTTTGTTTTCAGAAAGATGATGCTCTAAGATCGTAGTAATTAATTTTGTTTTTATTTCGTTTTGTCTCTTGTTCACCTTCTCTTCTTTTGTATTATTATCTCCGAGCACATTTATTTTTTTATATGCAAGTATTTGACCTTATGACCTGTACTTTATAGATCTAAGGAAATGCTACTCAACCAAGTTGTTGCTTTCATAGTTACCTCCATTTTCTTTCCAGGAAAGCCCACTAGCATTAGAAGACCAATTAATCATTTAATCCTCCCTGCAAACCAATACTCAACCAGATTTGAGTTTTCCATAGCTCACACTCCTTGATCCATTCAACCGGCTCTACCTTAGTACGCCTAAAAATGCCATTGTTTGGTTAATTTAAACGTTGTACTTATTCTATCAAATTGCTGCGTAAAAAAAACCTTAATAAAAACTTTTTTGTAAGCTGGGTGTAGATATCTGATTAAAAAAAAAGAACTTAATTGCAACTTTTCCAGTTATTATTATTATTATTATTATTATTTAATTTTCAGTTTGCAGCAAACCCATGCGAAATCATTCAGAATTCTGGTGCATACATGCTGGTCATATGCATGCACTTATAAAATCCTTGTATGTATTCTTACAGTCTTACGTATCTGGTGCAGGACGATTGCTGTGCATTTTTCTGAGCCATTCCATGTTAGCACACATGTTGTGGACAAATGCAACGATGGTACTTTACTTTTGCAGGTACGCCTTTGCACGTTTTCAAGCAGCTTTATTTAGTTGGTCTGATTTCATTGTGAGTCAGCAAATATACCTTCATGGATAGTGGAGGATATGCATGCCTTTAATGCCTTCCAGATGTAAACCAATGTGTTTTTTTCAAAATATGACACAATTTTCTCTGTGCCCAGTCTAGACCATGCAAATTTATATTAAAAGGGCTGGTACACCCAGTCAGAAGTTACCATCGATGGAGTAATTGGGGGAGGTGATTGATAGGAAATACTTGAGTTCGCAATTAATCCAAGAGGAAATATTTGAGTTCACAAGCAACCCTAGCAATAATTGGTAAAATAGCGGGATTAATGCGAAAATCTTGATGAAATCATTCCAAAACGATAGATTGTAATAATGGAACCCAAGCAAAAGCAAACAAAAAGCAAGATACAATTGATCCTCTATTTGAGAGGAGGATCATTCTCTCCCAATCTCTTGATAATGAATCTAGAGCCCAAGACGCCAAAGAAAACTCCAAGAGAACAACTCAAAGCATGCATAACCCTAAACAACCCATACTATTAATACATTAATTCCTACAAATAGTTTATAATTAATAATAAATTATAAATAAAAAAATTAATTCCTACAACTAAAGGGAAGTTTGTCCGCCTCCTGTAGACTAGAGCTGGCCCTCCTTGGGCCGGCTAGGCCGGTTCAATGAGAACTGGCCTAACAGTGATGAATGGCAATGTAGAGATTATTTTTTAACCTTGAACTTTTGAATTTTATGCTATAATGGAGGCAACTAACAACTAACTTCATGCCTTCCGTCTTTTAATGCAAATTTAGTTTTATCTTGATTAAATAATGACACTGCTTAAAGGGCGACAACTTATATTCAGAAAGTAACCTATGCTTGTATTTGGTGGAAGAATTTAGTTAGCTAAGATCATTTGGTTATTTGTCCCACAACTAGTTGTTGATATGGTATAAGTGATGTTTTTCTTTTGCCTGTTTTGAGCTTGCATTTGACATATTGTTGAAGAAAGATGTGTGGAAAATAAATATTGTATTGCCTTTGAGGCTGTTAGCTTTTACTATTATGTTTTTTATAACATTAAAATGAGTACTAGTTGTTGTTTTATTGTGGGCCTACGTTATTTTCACTATCATTAAAAAAAATGCTTAAAGCTCTTTTCATGATATATGGATAAACTTTTATGCGGTTTTTTATTATTGTTTATTCATAGGATTTTAAATTCCTTGAAGCATTTCAGAAATCCTGTACGGTTATTTATTTCTTATGAACTTTCTCTTCGGGCAAAAATAGTCAAGGCTTGATCAAAACTAGATTGGTTATTTCCTAGTTTTGAATTCCTTGGGTTCCTCAAAAATTACATTCACATTATCATTAAGAATTATAAAGCAGCCCAGTTTTTAATGGTGCATAATCCAACAATGCCCATTATAATGTCATTTGACAGATGTTTGGACTTTATTTCTGGCATGTATAGGTACTTATATATTCCCAAGTGAAGGCTTCTATGAAACTATGTGATGCATGGTTAGACCTTCAACCAGGGTTTGTTCATGTGGGGAAAAGTGATGGAAGACCAACTTCAAGTTTCTTCCCTTTTGTAGTCTCTCCATCCTCTAGAGCGGCTATCTTATTTGTCATATGCGTTGGAAATATTTCTAGAACAGGTATGCTTCTTTTTCCTTCAAAGTAATCCAATTTCTCTTGCCAGAAATCATGTTTTATTTATTTATTATTATTTTTTAAAAACCAAAATTTTTTATTATTTGTCATAAAAAATTACAACATGAACTAGTTGCAGAAAATTGCTAGATGAAAAAAAAAAAATACCATCAACACTAACAAGAAGGCAATGAAGCTAGAGCCATCAACTAAAAGAGAAGAATTAAAAATGCTACATAAAAACATCCAACTTGAAGTCTTGTATATTTAGAATAGTGATGATATACTTTCTTATAATTTATTCCTCTCTTGGTATATGGACATTTAAATTTTTTGTTCATGAGCTCTTGAATGCTAGAAATACTAACATCAGAGTCAGCAAATAGAGAGTCAGGATCATCAATATCCCCAACAATAAGATGATGATCATGACGTAAACCACTGGTTGATTTGGATTAATAGTCTTCAGAATAGGGGTAGTGGAAATCATCACCCTTGGGCCAACTTTCGAAGAATGCGTTGAATCTAATGTAGGATCCAAGATTGTTTCAAAGTTTTGTTTATAAATCATATCAGAAGAAGTTGAAGCTGCCGCCATTGCATGAGAAGGTTTATTTCTATCAAGTATTTGCTCCCCATTATCCTGATCTCTAGGTGGTTTACGCAAAAGTTATGGTTGTACCCTTAAAGCAACGTGAGAACTTTTGTCCAAAAATTTTACACTAACAATAATATGAAGTGATACCTTCAAAACGAACCTTTGCCAATAGCCACAATCAAAGGAATGAATCTAAATTTCATTCTCCAAAAGGATAGTGATGCCCATTTTCACTTGAATGCTGGCCATTAACTGTCTAAAATGCTAGTAGCAGGAGCTTTCACCTCAAGCGTTTTATCATAAATAGTGCTAAGAGAGTAAGGTGGATTGTTTGAAATAATTAATCTGGAGATGAGGAAAAACAACTCAAATAAGAGTTACATGAGGGTCTTTGGAACAATCAAAGGTGACCACTTAAGCATTCACATTGAGAAGCCATCATTTATTATGTTCTCCTGGACAAGAATCTTGAATAATAAGCTTTGAGGGATAATTTGATGAGAACCGAATAATCAATAAGCCCAACTGAATAATCCCACCAATGTTAGAGAGAAGGGGAGAGAGGATATGCCAACTCAGAAATCTTTTCATCTTATACCAGTGACGTGATGGGGGTAGCTTCTGATAAACTAATACGGGAGTATGCTGGAAGTATATGGGAAATCGAGATGAAGAGATAGGTAGAACATCATGAACCTTACCGTCCTTAACCATCTTTGCGAAAAAAAAAGAGGGG